ATTTTTATGCATTTTTTGAAAAAAAAATTTTGTGAGAAAATAGGGAGAATGCATTCCGGAATCAAGAAGCTACAAAAAGTAGCTTCTCTTTTTCTTGCCAAAAACTCATTCCGGAATAAAAAATGCATTCTGGAATCAAGTATTTTTAACAAACGCATTTTTATTCCAGAATGCAAAAATCGCTCGAGAATGCATTCCGGAAATTTTTTAACAAACGCCATTCTATTCCGGAATTCATTCTGGAATAGAATTTTTATTCCGGAATGCATTCCATGCGCACCCTAATATGCTGTCTGGGAATGAAGCACTCAACTCAATGCATCAGAATCGCTTGCACTTGGAGTGAGCATTTATCACCCTCTTTTTGGCCTTTTAGCGTGTCTTTACTTATTATAGCAATCCAAACAGGTGATTTTGATATTATACATGAATCATGTTGGGCTGGTGGGGCGTGCCAAACAAAGTGTTAAGTTCACAATCATCAGAGCGAAGTTCATGGGATTCGAAATCTCGAGAAGTGGCTGAAAAAATAACCTTTAACTCTAGGCCTATATTTCAATCTTCTCAATTAAAGCAGATTATAATCATGCTAGCACAAATGCCAGAATCTGATTTTGTCGCTTTACTCCATCCTTGGGCCAATGGAGAGAATTGCTTGACAGTTGCGCATCCAAAAGTGATGCTGTGAGTGGTGTGATGTGGGTGTTTCGGAAAGAGTACTGCCTTTTCATTCCTGTAATGCTATGCAGGGTAAATGAGTGCTTTAGTATTTGATTCCTATATCAAGCTATTGGTTATAAAGAGTGGCCATTTTGAGGATGTTGCAGAGGTAAATTCAAGGCTAATGCTCTGCGCTCTCCCTTTATAATCCTAAGATCAACCGCTCTTTGAGAGGGTGCCCGATCGTTTGCGCCTTTTGGTGCCGACATCGAGTTCAACCATGGGATTTTCGCTGGTCCCCCAAAACACTCGAGAACTGTGGAAGGAGTGGGGGCTGCGGTTGCTCGTCGTCCTCAGCTTGTTCCTCCAATTGACCCTTGTGACTCAGGGCTACCGGAGGAAATCCATCTACAGGTACTGGATCCGAATTGTGGTCTGGACGACGTACCTATCGGCCGACTCCATCGCAACCCTCACGCTCGGCGTCCTCTCGAACCGCCTGGCCAACATCAAGGAAAAGCAGGGGACGATCGATCCGAAGAGCCAGATCACTGCTTTCTGGGCGCCGTTCCTTCTCGTCCACTTGGGTGGGCCTGACACGATCACCGCGTATGCCCTGGAGGACAATGAGCTATGGTCGAGGCAGGTGGCGCGGCTTTGCGTCCAGGTAGGACTAGTTTGTTACATCTACTTCATGGCCTTGTCAGGGTCTACGCTGTCGATATTAGCAGCTGGCATGATCCTGATGGGGTACATCAAATATGTGGAGAGGGCATTGTGTTTTTACTTGGCAAGCGAAGGTCGACTTCGAGATTCGATGCTTTCGCTTCCCGATTTTGGTCCCATATACCCCAGGATAATGGAGCAGTACGCTCTGAAGAAAGAGGAGGGTTACCGAGTCAGCATTGCCGAGGTCACGGAGGTTCCGGCTCCAGAGGACCTCTCAGTCTCAGTGAACAGCGGTCGAGCCGGCGACGAAGAGAAAGCCACAACTCTGGTCAAAGCCTACGAGTTGTTCAAGATCTTCAAGCTTCTCTTCGTGGGCCTTATCCTCAACTCTGGCGACCTGGCGGCCAGTAAGCGCATGTTCAAGAACCGTGGTGCCATGGACTCGGTGACTGCTTTTAGGATCGTAGAGATTGAGCTCGGGTTCATGTACGATCTGCTCTACACCAAGGCACTGTTGCTGAACCGTGCTTGGGGCATCATTCGTTGGGTCATTAATCTCTCGGTGCCGTGCGCCGTGTTAGTATTCTTCTCCTTACAGGATAGGAAGGATTACCCCAAAGTCGACATCTATATCACCTTCTTGCTGATATGCGTGGCTATACTTTTAGAGATTTACTCGGTTCTTCTCGCATTTTCATCCGATTGGGTTGACCACTGGCGGCTTCAGAGACCTGGCGGATCCACAATATCATCTGCCGTGGCTTTTCTCCAGATCTGTCCGAACCCAAGGTGGTCGAATTCCATGGCCCAGTTCGGCCTCTTGGGATTGTCTATCAGGAGAAGAAACAAGATCTTCAGCAAGTATCCGAAGCTTGCCAAGTTAGATGAGAAGTTGGAGAAGAACTTCTGCGTCCGTTACAAAGAGTTCAAGAGCAATATCAAAGAATGGACCTTCCATCACATGAGGGATACGGTCGATTATCTGGAAGAAAAAAACGACAGAATGAAGAGCGTGTTGACGAGTCTTAAGCTGGAGGCTAGCGACGTACTGACAAGGTCAAACAACAATCACCTGGACTGGAGTGTGAATGAAATGGAGTTCGAACAGAGCATCCTCATCTGGCACATCGCCACCGAGCTCTGCCACTACAAGGACCGCGACAAGATGCAGGTAGAAAGCGCGGAACACATCACGGACTACAAGATGAGTAAGTTGGTCTCTCGGTACATGCTCTATCTTTTAGTACTCCATCCTTCCATGTTGCCAACAGGGATAGCGGTGCTCCGATACGAAGATACTTCCATCGACGCTCAGAAATTCTTCGACGACAAGCTAGCGGTGTTGTCAAAGAAAGAAACCAGGATCAACCCATCGGTTGTCAAGACGTGGGTGCAGAATTTATTCAAGAAAGAGAAACATGGCCACACCCGTGTTCAAAGCTGCAAAAAGGCGCACAAGTCAGCAGAGTCGCGCGATCTATGCGAAGTCTGCCATCTTCTGCTCCAAGTGGGAACTCAGCTGCCCGCCAAGAAAATGCGCAGTGCCAAAAGCAGGTCGGTGCTGTTTGATGCGTGCTATCTCGCATCCCAGTTGAATAAAATCGAGCAGGAAGACATCGGTAGGAAATGGAACTTGATCGGCAAGGTCTGGGCGAAGTTTCTGATATACGCAGCTTGCCAAAGCAAAGGCTTCGAACACTCGGAGAGCCTGAGCATAGGAGGAGAGCTCATCAGCCATGTCTGGCTTCTAATGGCGCATCTCGGCGTAGCGGAGCTGGTGCAAACTTCCGAAGCACAGTGCATTACCAAACTGATCCTGAACTAGTGCTTTCAGGTGGAATGCGACTTTTGCTTAACCTACTGTTACTTGAGTAAGATGAATAAGTGAAGCTCATCGTCTTGAGATGGTGAGGGAGTCATTTCAGATATATGTTGTACTTGAGGACTCAGGAAATAATGAAACTGTGTATCAGTCGTTCTTCTTCACGGAAGATTCGAGTACCTCAAAGTCGGTCGTAACTTTCGCCATATCTTTGATTCGTAGCTTTCAATTAATAAAAAAAAAAGTAACTCTTAACCTACCATAAATTAGTAGCTAGGTTTTTATTTTTGGTCGAATAGTAGCTAGGTTATCTACAACGTTAATAACATTTTACTTAGAAAAATCCAATTCGGGGCCGGTTTTGCCTATTTATCACTTCTAGTTATGACTTTTTCTAAAAAAAATTTAAAAACAAAAAAATTAGTTGAAGGTCCAAAAACTAAGGAAAAACTCGTTGTATGTGGTTTTACGCGGCAATATTTGAATACTTTGGAAAGTTTCAAGTGTTTTGTAATGTATAAAAGTCAAAATATGAGCGCCGCGAAATTCATGGAAAATTAAAAAGTGACTCTTTATTCCTAAAAGTGGTTCGTAAATATCACATGCAAATTTTAGATGGTTCGATTTTCTTTGTTTTGTTTTTATCTGTGCAATATTATGCAGCAACTTCTCCATCTATACTTATATTATTAAAGGTAAGTGTATTGTAAGTTTTAAAACTTATAATGAAAGTACATTTGAAATTCTAAAACTTTAAAAAATGCAATTAAATTCTAAAATCTGTCACAATGTGCAATTGAGTCCTAAAATTTTTAAAAATGCAATAAAATCCTAAAATTTGTCAGATTGATCTAATTAAGTCCTCAAGTCAATTGTACTTGTTGAAAGTCTTAGACTCGAATTGAACTTTTTGAAAGTTTTGAGGCTCGATTTCATTTTTATGATAACTTTTATGACTTGGTTGCACTTTTTGAAGTTTTAGGACTTAATTGCATTTAGTGCACTTATCCCTTTTTTAAAATAAGGGTTAATATCACTAAAAACTCCAAACTGATATGCATATGATAAATTTACTCAAAACTAATTTTTTGATTACCAAAATCCCAAACTGGTATACCTGTAATAAATTTACAGATAGCACCACCGGTACTAGATTGACTATATCTGTTAAGGTTTTATATTACTCCTGCTAACACAAGTACTAATTCTTCCTCTACTTTCACATATTAAAGCAGTAGACACAGGTTTATCGAATTCTCTTTATGGATGTTCTCACTTAGAAATAAATCACAAACTCCATCAAACGTCAAACTTGTTAATACAGAAATATTAGTATTCCAATTATTGGGCAATGAGCTTTTAAGATTTGGTATCTAAGTGAAAGTTAATTTTTTATGAGATATAAAAAAGTTTGAGTTAGAATTTTCACTCAAGGTAAAATTGGTGTTTTTTTTTGGAATTATGCCCGAATATTGAGATTGAAAGATATATTGCCTTGCTTTATAATATAAAGATTTTGATCACCCAAAAAAAATTGCTAGTTAAGTTTAGAAATGTTGGTCCTAACTGCTTCGTCTAGGGCCTTGGATTCTTGATTTGTGGCTACAATATAACCTCACCAAATTAAGGGTAGTTTCCTATCAACAGGGGCCGTCTGTGCCTGTCCACTAATGTGGCGGGCTGCCATACTACGAACTTTATTTTAACGTGCCCGCACGCCTTACCCTTCTTAATTCCTCATGTATTTTTATTTTGGAATTCCCTCTATATGAAGCAGTTCAAGATCTTATTTAGATGAAAAAAAAAGGAAGCGTGAAAATGGCTTAGAATATAAAAACAAGAAAAAAAAAAGAAAATATGGAAAAACGAGCAGATCCATAACCCGATCCGATCATTCCTCCGTCGTCCTTGCGGACGCTCCGCTCCCGCTGCACGACACCGACGCCATGGAAGAGCTCCCGCCGCCGCTCTCCGATACCCGCTCGATTCGTCGCTCGAGAAGCGTCCCTCTCTCTCCACCCAGTTTCTTGACCCTCGTCGCCGTCGCCGCCGTCGTCCTAGCCTCGTTCTTCGGCAGCGCCCAGGGCATCAGGTTCCCGAATCGGATCCCCGACCCGGCCGCCGGCTCGCCGACCCGACCCACGAGGACCGCCGTCTTCGCCCTCGGAAGCTTCTGGCGGTCCGAGGCCGTCTTCGGCTGCCTCGGCGGCGTCGTCCGGACCGCCGTCGGTTACGCCGGCGGTTCCAAGCCCAACCCCGAGTACCGGAGCTTGCGCGATCACGCCGAGTGCGTTCAGGTAGTTTTCGTCGCGAATTTTGATTCGGTTTTATGGTATGGAGCTGTTGCGAGAAGATTCCGTGCAATTGCAAATTGAATAGGAGACGGAGAACGTTGGGATTGTACAGATCAGAAGCTGATAGTGCTATCGATGAGTACATAGTTTCAACGATTGGAAATGCTTAGCTATCATTTGTCAACTAGTTTGGATGCCATCGTTCTTGTTTCCTTCAGTTTCAGAATCCTGCCCTTCACATTGTTGTTTCCTTGCACCTCCATTAGTGTGGCTGTTAGAATTTCTTCCTGATAATTGAGGACACCATTCGCTAGAGTCGTTCGGGTATTGAGCATCAGATGCCATTGCCAGTCGGTATTTTCAGCTTTATTTTGACGAAACATCAGAGTTTCGACTCTGTGAAAACGGTGAAATACTGCATGTTGGTCGCTTGTGATCAGTTGAATGAGTTCTGCATGTTTATGGAACAAGGGTATTCTTGCCAGTCTCTTAGTGTCTGGTTGATGAAGAGATTGACATAGGACCGAGAAAGAGGTAAAAGAGAATGTTTGATCCTGTAAGTTTGCATTTTCGTCATTTGTGATTTGCTGATGAGGTGAAAGGTGCTGGATTATTCTTTCGCTTTTTTCTGAGGATCAGTCTGACTTATGCATGTCAATCATTTGGATCCATACATCTTGGGGCCACTAATGTTTCTTTAACGGAGGTCAGGGGGCTTGTCAAAATTACTTGTGCGAATGCCAGGTGTATATCAAAGTCCGTCACCAGTCGTCCCTAAACGATGAGAATTTTGTTGGAGACAGAGGGCATATGAGAGAGGTTAGGATTTGAGCAAGCAGAAGCAGATTTCGGATGTGAACCCTGTTTAGCATGAAGGGGCAAATCAGGATTCAAACTGAGACTCTATCGAATAAAAGCATTGTTTTCACTCTCCCCTTTCTTTTCCGTCCTGTCGCATTTCTTATTCTTTGGGGGAGCGGGAAGGAGGAGGTTAGAGAAAGTTTCATCTATAAATCCTCTCTTTTGAGCAAGAAAGTTTCTAAACTTCAGTATCCATGGTTTTTGGTTCTTGTGAACATTACTATTAAGTATTCCTTATCGGAACTTCGTCTTTTGATTACATGAAAATTGCTAGTCGGTAGCGATATTTACTCGTGCTTTGTTTGTTTTTGTGAATGCTGCTCCGCAGGTGGAATATGATCCTAGATTGATTAGTTACAGGCAACTTTTGGATGTCTTTTGGTCTAGTCATGATTCAAGGCAGGTTCTTGGGCAAGGTCCAGATGTTGGTAACCAATACAGGTGGCAGCAATTATTTGCTTTGGCAGTTTTCCCGTTTATCAGAATTAGGATATGTCGTCTGTTGCTTTGTGTCTACCTAACATTTATGGATGGGCTTCTTGTGTTGTCAGGTCAATTATCTTCATAAATGGAACTGAAGAGTCCAGGCTAGCAGCCCTCAGCAAAGAAAGAGAGCAAACCAAGTCCAAGAGCAGTGTTGTCACTACTCAAATTCAACATCTTGAAACATTTTATCCTGCGGAGCCTGAACATCAGGTTAAGTATTTTGGAACCGCTTCATCATTACTTGAAAGTGTACATATCAGAAAATCGAATCCTCCACAGTCATGTTAACTGAAGAGGTCAGAACATTTTTTGGCTGATTATCAAGTTGATGTGTCTGAAGACGTATTTCTTTATTTGCACCTGTCTATATCTGTTATTACATTGAAAATTGGGTCCACCCTAACCTTCCTCGGTTCCGCTGCAATGTGTTATGGCACTTCTAGTTCTTTAGTTTGGTTTCCCCTTGCAATCCCAATGGATATATTGCGGACATATCTGAAATCTTCAGCTCTGTCACTTGAGAGATGCATGCACCCCGTATGAATTCTCAAATGTACCATCTGGGACTTTCGTTGATTACAAGGAACTGGAAATGATCTCTTCTCCCCAGCATTTCTGATGAGAATTCCCATACCATGAAATGTGCAGAAGTTCGAGCTCAAGCGGAATCCCCTCCTCCTCCAGCTGATGGGAAACCTGCCTGAAGAGGAACTTCAGAGATCCCGTTTGGCTGCAAAAATGAACAGTTTTGCAGCTGAGCTTTGCCCACCTCACATTCAGAAGCAGATTGACGTGAAGATCGGCGATATCATCAGAAAAAGTTGGCCTCTCTTAAGAAATGTGTAGTTCCTAGATTAAACAATATAACAATTGTTTCGGATGACAACAATTCATCAGTCCATTCCGCGCTAGGAGCTGTAAATCCAACTTTTCGAGAGGAAATCAGATAATATTTGATGAAATGAAACTGTAACTGTCCTGTAGATGTCACCATCTTTTTGTACCTGCAGTATGTTCGTCGGATCCCATGTAGTTTTTCTGTGGCACTTCTGGCAAAGACAATCGTCCTGCTAATCATGCTCTGTATTACTGAGCTTTGCTTGTATTATATCTTGCTTTATGACGTGAATTAACTTCTCTTTACTTCCCATGTCTTGAAACTAAAGCTGGTTTATTATAGAAAGTTTGAAATATACGTTGAGAAAAGTAAAATGGAAAATTTTAAAAACTAAAATCACCAAATAATTAAGGGTGGTGCTTTTTCCACTCTTCTCTTGCTCTCATACTCCCTTTTACGGTGTATTGATCGTGTTACCCTCACGAAGAGTTAAAAGTGGGGTTCATTGGGGAATTTTTCATTTGTTTCTATTTTTTCTTCCACTTTCTTTTTTCTTTTTGATGGTTTTGTTGATTAGGGAACCCACGGATTTGAAGTTCTCCCGCAATGGTTCCTTGATGACAATGTCGAGCTATTTATCCTCTTGAATGGCGAATTGTAGATGCATCGGGATTATCCTCTTCGCGTTCAGGTCTTGCTCGCATTGCCCGTGAGCTCAATCACCTTGATCGTTTTGTTTCCATGCTCAGAAATCATCGTGAGAATCAAAGCATGTTCAGAGAGAATTACAAGTCCTTTCTGCGCTGGTAAAGCTTGGAGTGATCATGATTAGAGTGCTTAATCCTCATCCTGCTATGGAAGTTCAATACCAAGGCTAAGCTCTATAAGGAAGTCTCGCTCTCCTACCTATTTCTCACTAATAATCTGAACTACATGGCGGAAAAGTTTGAGATTGACGAACCTTAAATATGCGAGGCATGCAAAAAAGGCGAGGCAATATGTGGCGAGCTATGCGGCTGCGGTGTAGAGCAAGGTCCTCTTGTCGTTGCCGGAGGCGGCGCCCGAGGGACGATCGACAGAGGTGGTAAGGGCGTGTCTCCAAAGTTCTATGCGGCATTTGAGGAGGAGCATCGGAAACAGATGTCGTGGACCGTGCTAGACAAGAAGCTCACGAGGGAGGAGATCAAGCTGTCCCTTGTGAGGGGTGATGGCAAGGTAGAGAGGAAGCTCATGAGGTTCTAAAACACCGCAAAGTCGTTGATGTGCATGGAGGTCTCGGAGGAGGAAGATGAAGACACACAATGGGCCTCACATTCAACTCCGTGAGATACAACATTCTAAGGTGGAAAAAGTGAGGGGTAATATTATTATTATAATGTGAAATAGAGTGTTTGAGCCAAATGAGGAGTAGAAAAAGCGCTACCCATAATCAATATTATTATAGTTCACTTACGTACATTAAAAAAAATAATCCGTCAACACTTTCCATTAGCCAAACCGATGGAGTTAATGAAAAATTTGATTACACAAATTCAACAAATTTTAGGACTTTATTGCACTTTTTAGAGATTTTAGGACTCAAATGTAGGTGTACTTATCTCTATAAGTAAATATCTATAGAATTGCCAAAGTGAATTCATCTGGGTTCTAATTTGCATTGGGCTAAATTTCACAAGATTGTATACCATTACCTTGGATTTTCTTCCTTTTATCTTGTCATTTACATATTGTATAATAGATAACGTATAGTATGAGGGGGTAGAGGCTTGGTTTGCTTGTGTTATGACGTATAAATGGATATTTTTTCGTCTCACACCTATAACCTTCAGAGAGAGAGAGAGGGAGAAAATGTTGGACGGAGAAAAAGCGTATGCATATCGTTGGTCACAACAAATACTGTTTTCCTACCTCCACTAGTCATTTCAAAAAAATTGGATACTGAAGACTAGCCCTCGCGCATGCTCTATGCGCATGTACGATTACTTTCAAGTCCTTTGAGAGTGAATAGATGATGGATAAACATATTGCCTCGCGAAGGATTATGTAGGATAAATCGATCGATGAAGGAAGACGTGACATTCTCTTGTTAGAAATAAAGAGATAAATAGATGCCATATATGCAGCTAACCTCTCGGGGAAATGAATATGAACAGTCAATTAAGTAAATGGCAAAGGGTTGGGATTTGGGACCAACCATTGCCTTGCTTGATTTCATTTGACAAGACTCAGGCAATAAATAAAAACAACTAAATAAGTGGATATTTTGCATTATGAAAGTTTGATGTGTGCATCCACTTATCATAGACAAAGCAAAGAGATGAACCTGCGGATGATGGAAGAAGAGCAGTGGAGTGGCAGAAGGTGGATAGTTACAATTTTCGGTTTTGGATAATGTTTTTCTGTAGGTGAAAAGCTTAGGTAAAGTGCATTAAGTAAAGTGCACATAGAAATTCAAGACACGCCAAGAAGAGGAGGTCTAGATGGTTTCTCCTTTCTTGGAACCTGACATGGGAGGTCTGGACTAGGAGTGTGTAAAACGGACTACCCGAATTAGGAATTGCCCAAATCTGACCAAACCGGTCGGTTGGGTCGAGTTCCTAGGAGTATCGGTCCAGTTCCCGACTCCTAAAAGAGGAATTGGTGTCCGGGTGGTCTGGTTCCCGATTTTATGGTGGAAACTGGACCGACCTATATCCTAAAGTCACTTGTAGTCCAAAGCAAATAAAGAATATTGCAATTGTCTATATCAACAAGCACCTCATCTCACATGGAAAAGAGTAAAATTTGCAACTTGCAAATGTCAGCATACATTGGTTTGACTGCCTGGACCTTCTTCACTGCTTGGCATTTTTATTTCTCCCAGTTGCCAGGGGATTAATGCTTCTTTGCCTAATTGGCATACCTTTAGAGCATGCTGATATCATGTATGGTTGAGAAATCTCGTCATGTTTGATTGGGGAATTTCTACATTGATCGATTTCATTGGACCGAACCGTACCAACAGCCTGGTTCTGTTCCTGGTTCCCGGTTTTCGGTTCCTAGGTGGAACAGGACCAGATCGGGAACTGATCACCCCTAGTCTAGACGGCCTCACATTCTGCAGGATTAGGCATATATGCAAACCTCATTTGTACACATCCAACCGATAAGGGACTCTGATTTTCATGAATTGGTGTGTGCGAAAATTAGTTGAGAAAGGAATATAAAACCGAGCGTATACTTAAATATTCTTTTCTTTCGCTTTAGATCTTTATTTTACTTGAGGACAAGTTTGGAATGAAGCTTAGTAAAAGTGAGGCGAAGCCTGGCTTCCCTTAATGTATAGAAGATATATTATTCATATATAACTTTTTTATTTGCATTCGGCCAAGAAATTGAACATTTGATCTTCACGCTGCTCCTCTTTGTTAGGAAAAGTTAGGGCATCTAGTAAACTTTTTTGGAGAGTATTGTGTGAAAGCCATCATCGGCAAAGCTCAAAGCTCAAGGTAAGTGGGGACCGCATTCAGCATTTTCGAAATGCTAATGTGAAATTTAAGGGATAATGACACAAATAATCCTGAACTTTGACTCAATGTGCAATTTGATTCATAAACTTTTAATTTGTTCAATGTAGTCCCTGAACTTTAGGCTAATGTTCAGTGTGGTCTCTGAACTTTTAATTTATTCAATGCCATCCCTGAATTTTTGGTACATGTTCAATTTAGTCCCTGAAACTATATGAAAATGTTCAACGTAGTTCTTGAACTTGAATTAATGGAAATGACTGTAAGGGACTACATTGAACAATTTTATATAGTTCATGGACTGAATTGAATATATACCAAAAGTTCAGGGATGATATTGAACCAATAAAAAGTTCAGGGATCACATTGCATATTAGCCTAAAGTTCAAGGACTACATTGAACAAATTAAAAGTTCAGGAACCAAATTGCACATTGAGCCAAAGTTAAGGGACTATTTGTGTCATTTTCCCGAAATTTAATGACTTTTTTTCCTTTTAATCTTGCCCTCACTTATAATTGAGCATTCCACTTTTGCCCTCTAAAAATACTGTTCATGATATTTCTCATGCACTCTCTCTGTGCTCGCTAGTTGCGCTGGTCGCAGAGGTCAAGGCTCACCTGGGGTACCGCGACCTCGACAGCGGTCACCTGTGGTTGCGTGACCTCAGCGACGGGCTGTTGTCTCTCTTTCAGGCTTTGCCTGAGGTGCCATCTTCGTCGATTTGTGCTTCCACTTTCATTTCTTTTATTTATTTTAAAACTAAAGTCCTTTACAAGTTTTTGGCACATATTGTTTTGCATTTTGTGAAACCCCTCTAACCTAAGGTTCTTTGTGTCTATGCAATGGTATTTCGCAAAGATGAATCAAACGCACCGTCGCAATGCTGAATCAAACGCATCGTCGCAATGGTTGAAGCTTTGTTCTTCAATCTAAGAATAGAGCAAGGTCAGAGAAGAAATAAATACGAACTTACTAGAAAACTTTACTTACTTTCCTTTTTGTTAGGAAAACAAATTGATCATTGTGATTTTAGATGAAACTATTTTAAGAGAATGTTTGCCGAATGAATTTGCTTTTGACTCTAACAAAACAAAGAAAAATAGTGTCAAAGTTAACATATTTTCTTTGTGATTTTTGCTTTTGGCTCGCTCTAATTTTTAAAACTTTAAAGCAACAATTTTATGAATGATCAATTTAATGCCAAAACTTTTTTAATGATCACTTTTATGCCAAAACTCTTTAAAGTAACCGTTTAACTGACTTTAATGAGCCGCGCGAGATTTTTGGCAAACTAAGTCACCGTATTCACTTAGATGATCGTTTTTCAAAAGTTGTGACACTTAAAATGATTATTCGAAAAGCCCTATAAAAATTGTGACACTAATGACATCCTTTCTGCTGTAGGGAAAAATGAAACTCATTTTGAGGTTATGAATTTTTGGACTTTCAGGTTTTCGTACACTACAAAAAAACACCGGATTAGCGACGGAATTTGCGACGGAAAACGAGGAAAAATCCGTCGCAAATCGAATTTGCGACGGAAAAAATTCCGTCGCTACTCGGTCGTCGCAAAATTTTGCGACGGAAAATTCACAAGTTCGTCGCAAATTTGCGACGAAAAAAAATTCGTCGCAAAATTCGTCGCAAATTTGCGACGGCACATAGTCCGTCGCAAAATTCGTCGCAAATATTCCGTCGCAAAAATCCGTCGCAATTTCGTCGCAAATTTCGTCGCAAAATTTGCGACGAACGTTTGTCCGTC